CTACCCAACCTCCCTGTGCCAGACTCTATTCACAAAGCGTTATGACTAGGGCAGTTATGGGAGGGAAGTGTTCTGCAGAGGGAGGAGCTGTAAGGATGGTGATAAGGCTATCTACCTCTAGGATATCACCTTCTGTAGAGTATCCAAACAGAAGCTTCTGGGCTTCAATGCTGCCTGAGGAGTAGATATAGACCTTCATCCCCGCTTCCCGCCACTTCCGGATGGCTGGAACCACGTCCTTGAAGATTCTGGAGCAAAAGAGGGAAGCCGGTAAGGGCAAACCGAGCGGTACCCGGAGGAACACCTTTAGCCAGGCACTGTGACAACTGTCCCATTAGTTTGCGAAGGGACTTAATTCTCCATCTGCTCAGGGCTTCTGCAACCGAGCTGTCTATTGCAGCAGCAGGGGATATACTCTGAGCTCCAGCCAACTGAGCACCTTACTGACTGCTATGCAGACAGCAGCTCTGAGTTGTTTCAGAGCAGAAATTTGGCAGAAATTTCTCCAGCCCCTTCAATCTGGAGAGGGGAAGAAAAAGGTTGGGGAAAATGGCATCCCGCTGCCTTTCTCCATGAGGGAGGAATGAGCCACTCCACAGCAATGGGGAGCAAAGGCATGAGAGAGGACCAAAGCCAAGGCAATTGCTGTGTAACTGTTGACACATCTGTGGGTCACCTCTTACCTTGCTCATTCACACCACGAGACCTCTCCAGTGCCGCACTTACATGCATGCAAAAGCTCTTTGCACACAGAGGACATTTACAACATGACCCACGTACTGAGGGAAAATGAAGGCTAGGGGATGCTCAAGGGGTACAAAACGTGGCTGACAGTCCCCCCGTAATGCATGTGATGGTTGATAAGGAAAGGCCAAACAGCTTTGGCAGGACAGGGAGGGGGTTCAAGTTTCATATGGGAGAAGGATGGAGAGAGGGGCTGGAGAAGACGTGATTCCCAGGGTACTGAGTTTTCACCCCAGTCCAAACTGCAGCCTTCCCACCTGCACTGCACAGGTCTGTGTGGGCCCTAGGGCCAAGACCCAGAGGTACTGCTGGGAAAAGAGGGACGGAGCACCTGCCTCCAAATAGGTGCAAAAGGAGGTGTTGGACTGAGTTTTGCAGACTTGTAGCAGGCAGCTGGCCCTTTCTTCATCTCCAGTTTCTTGGCTCAGAGCCTTGTTATGTTATATATGTAAAAAAAAAAAAATTTACTTTTTTCCATAGTTATTTATTAAATGTCTCTGGCATTAGCTGTAAATACTTTGAGGGTGCATGGCACCTGCAGAAACTCCCAGCCACCCTCATGTTTTCATGTGCTGAGGTCAGGTCCTGGGTTTCAGACACTTAAGTGTCAGCTACAGTTGGGCAAGGGAGAGACTTTAAAAATCTCAATCCTTGGATGCTGCCAAGCAGCAAGGCTAGCTCCGCAGTTTTGGGGGCACTATAAGACAATTAGCCCTGTTTTTAAAAAGAGAACAAACAGGATGGCTGTCCCTCTTGAGTTGCTTTTGGATACTGTTGCTTTCTCTGGTGGATGTTTCTTTCTTACACTCAGGTAAGAAAGAAAGGAGGATGCAATAACTGAAAGGATCTGACCCTGCAACCCCACATTGTTTAGGTCTGTTCCAAAATGTGAGTGCCCTGCAAGGATAAAAATGCAAGATGGAGAACCATAAGAGGTTCATACTTGTGCCTCGGTCTCTTGGTTTACCAAGAAATCTCTGTAGAGAAATATTGAGACAGTATTTCTACAAATGTAGAGAAATATTGAGACCTTTTCTGCTTTTCTAATGCAGAAGACGGTTGCCCCACCTGAATGTTCTGCTGGCTGTGGAAGCAGAATTGTCCTGTGTCACACCTGCATTACCTTGTTCTGTTTCTCAGACCCCACCTCCTTTATGGACCCTGTCCAGGTGGCTGGAGAACTGGCTGTTCCCCAGCATCGACCTGCTGATCTTTCCTTAAGGAGAAACACTTTCACCCACTTTTCATCTTCCCAGTGGCAACTCGGTCAGCCCCAAGGTTACTGTAAGCTTTTGTTTCCCTAGATCCAAAGGTTAAGCTCAACAGATACGTATTTCACTGCATGATCAAGTTTGCAACGAAGTGTCTGCAGCTGGTTTTTGGACAGCAGTAGCCTGGCTTAAGCCATGCCTGAATGCAAACATACTGCCTTCTCCACCCAGGTAGTATCCTACTTGCATTTGTACATGGAGCCGTTTCCAGGAACAGCTTATACAGCTATTTCGCTAACAGATGTCTAGGAAAGATGCAGCCCATACCTGCCCCAGGGCACGGGGCACACAATTACTCACTCTCCTTTGATGAGCCCGGTTGCATAGGCTGCCCTCCACATGTGACCCTGCAGCTGCTTCAGCGCGGTGGTCTTCCTGTCCAGAGACATCTGCCAGTGCACATTGTCTACGACTGCCTGGATGACCCGCTCCAGCTCCTCTTCTCCACCTCCGCTCTCCAAAGGGATTGGCACGGCCCCATCCAAGCTGGAGTCCTCCTGAGCCTGCAAATCATCGATGATGAAAAAAGGTAAGGGAAGAGGTGGAGCAGTCTCAAACTCTCGATTAGGAACAGGGTCTAACACCTGCATCAATGGCCCTCTGTGCAGGACACAGCTCAAGCTGCTCTTCACATGAAGGGTTACAGCATTGCTTGAATGCTTTTCTCAGTGGGAAATTCAGACTTCAGTAGTGCCTAGAAACACTTGCTTGGGTTGTACTTTCCAAACCTAACAATTAGCTGTGTTGTAAATACTCTAATGGGAATTATACTTAAGTATTTAATTACCGAAAGTAAGGCAAAGAAGCAAATGCATCTGTTGGCTTCAGACAGGTCTCAAATTGATGCCATGTCCCTGTACAGAGGCAGGATACGCGACCCTGTGTGGGACAAGTACTCTGCCACCCCAAAATACTGCTTCCCAAACAGGTGCCTGAAAGCCGCAGGCAGCGGATTCAGCAGAGAAGGGCACAGCGCAGGCATGAAGCTCAAAGCTGTGGTTTGACGCCCGCCCAGGGGCTGTGAAGACCAAGACGAGCTGAAGGAAGCAGCTGAGCCGCTGCCTACCAAGCACCAGCCCTTCGCCGAGCACCACCCCAGGCTCTGGGTGGGGGAGAATCAGCCTGCCAAGGCAGTCAGCCTGGGGAGGGGGAAAGAGAGGTATGCGCTCACGTTGGGTGACTGGGAGAGTCCAAGTGGACATCAGAAGGATACAGACTGGTTGGAGCAAGTCCAGAGGAGGCCACGGAGATGCTCCGAGGGGTGGAGCCCCTCTGCCATGGGGACAGGCTGGGAGAGTTGGGGTGTTCAGCCTGGAGAAGGGAAGGCTCCAGGGAGACCTTATAGCACCTTCCAGTGCCTGAAGGGGCTACAAGGAAGCTGGGGGGGACTTTTTACAAGGGCAGGGAGTGACAGGACAAGGGGTAACGGGGTTAAATTGAAAGAGGGGGGGGTTAGATTGGATATCAGGAAGAAGTTCTTCCCACAGAGTGTGGGGAGGCACTGGGACAGGTTGCCCAGAGAAGCTGTGGATGCCCCATCCCTGGAAGTGTCCAAGGCCAGGCTGCATGAGACTTGGAGCAACCTGGTCTAGTGGAAGGTGTCCCTGCCCATGGCTGGGGGTTGGAACTGGATGGTCTTTAAGGTCCCTTCCCACCCAAACCATTCCATGATTCTATGATACTAAGTGGTCTGAAGTCTCAGGCATGCCATGAAAATCCAGAGACATGGCGTAGCTCCGTTACTTAACCTGCTTCTTCAGCAGTCCGACATCTCGCTGGCACTCCTCCTCCTCCCAGTGAGCACGCAGATACTCCTTCACATTGTCTTTGATGTAAGGGAACAAGGTCTCCTGGCAGCACACAAGAAAAACAAGCAACTCCTTTAACCCGGCAGAGGTCAGGCTGCCTCGCTTTTAAGGCAGTTGTTTGCACACGCTGGTACTCATGGTTGTCTTCCCCACCTGAGCTTCCCCTACAGCACTGCACCTCGTGAAAACGCCTGCCGAGGCTGTCCGCCTGGTCAGGGGCCAGAGCCAACCTTCGGCTACCATCGACGCAGGTGGATTTCTTTTGCACAAATGGAGCTGCAACTTTTAAATCCCACGATGGAAAGGCGGGTGGTAACTTTTCCTGGACTTGCCAAAAAAGTCTCAAATGGTAGTTACGACCCCAGCTTCCCATCGGCTGAGGAGTACAAGGCTGACTGTGACACCGCGCTCCGCAGGACAGTCTTCCAAATGAAATGAAATGAGATTAGGGAAAAGTGCCGCAGGAGAGCGACGAACCTCCCTGGAGATCTTAAGGGCAACCAGAAACAATTACAAATTCCTCTCATTAGTGGTGTTTCACAACTGAGAAGCCACAAGTAGCCGCTGTGACAGCATCTCTGGGTGCGAGAAGAGCAAGGGGAAGGGCAGGGAGTTCCTTCCTTTAGGTACAGAACTGAGCTTTTCTTAACTGGGAAAAAATCTGGGATGGGGAGATGGAAGGCAACTAACCTGACCTCACCTCTTCTCAAAAAATAGCCAGTGATATTTTTCTCCTCTCTGTATGTCACCTTTAACTTGTTACTGACTTAAGAAAATAGTGGTCCTGAGAGCACGAGGTGGAGGCAGAACTGCAGGGTTTTCTACTACTCCAATAATGGGAGTGATAGGTAAAAATTTATATTGCTCCATTTTCCATGTTGAATATTGTAAAAGCAATGTAAATTTAGGGGAGAGGAAAATGCGTACAAAATTACCGGAAACTTGTCTAGGGAAATCAACAGCGTTGTAATCCCTTCAGTTACGCTCCCATTTCCTTTATTTGAGCTTAGCTGCTTTCACTGCTTTAGCTGTTTTTTCCTCGTACATCATGGAGGAAACTAAAGAGGATCCACTGGGAAATGCAACTGACCTGCTGGCTTGCTTTAACTTCCTTTACAACTTGGATGTCAAAAGGTCCCAATTGCTTTCCAAAAGCAGTGTTTCATGCTCTTGTGCTGGAAAAGAAAAACTTCTAAAGAAGCTCTGACACTGCAGTATATTCCATGATTCAGTGGATCTTAAAAGGGTAAAAGCCTTGGCCCATTGAAAAATGCATCAGTCCGTGGCCCAAGAGGGGACACCCATGTGACAGCTGGAACAGTGGACAGTCAGGAGCGATCCCAGGCAATGACATACTAAGTTTAGAAGGTCATGAGTTTGTGTGGAAGACTTGCATCCTGAAAGGAAATACCTCCATCTCAGAGACTTCTCCTCTCGGCAGGCTGGGGGGCTGCAAACTCTTGAATAGGTTCACCCGGGGCTGTTACTGACCTTTATCAGTTCACCTGCTTCTTTTTATCTTGGCCAGCAGGAGACCCAAGCCTGCCAGGGTGATCATGGCCTGGCTCCACGGCCGTGTCTAGCCCCAGACGTACCTGTCCCAACACAGCTTGACAGGATGTAGAGATAGCTGTCACCAACCTCAGCTTGACAGTCCTCCTAAACCTTCACAGCTGCTCACAGCAGTGTTCAACCCAGTAGAGAAAGGGTGGTATTTTTACCATCAGTAGACACCCACAGAGCATGCTCCCTGTCTCATTCTCTTTCCTTACTTTGCACATTTAATAATTCTACTACTAAAGAAATAAAATCCTTTAACACTGAAGAATAAAATGCCTACAGAACCAGCAGTGGACCTTTCAAAGGTAAACAGAAATTATAGAGGTTAACTGAAAGTCCAAGTGAAATAATTTGTTTCAAGCATTTTCACGATTTAAAGCAAACGGAGTTTCATTACAAACCATAAATCCTTTGGGCTCCCTGGGCAGGAAACCATCTCAAGCACATTGCATGTTACTTGCACGACAGCAAAACAGATGCAAGGTGGACATAGCCAACTTCATTAGATGTTCAGTAAGAAATCTGAGCTGTTCAAATGGTTTAAATTGAAAGATAATGAGGGGAGGGAGGAAGCTATAATGCAATATAGGCCTGAGGTTTCTTCAAGAGCACCGGAAGACCGCGGACGGGCAGGTTGTTGGTCGTGTTGTTCATCTGTTAAACTGCATTAGCAGAAACACCTAGAAAGCCTGGCAAGAGCCTTCAGCCCTCCGCCTATTATATGGGTCAGAAAGCACCTTCATAAATGACAAGCAAAAAAGAGAAACCAGAAGCTATAATGTCTCACAGTGAAATACAAGTTAATGGCAGGAGCAGGATAATTCCATTTGTGTCTCAAATACAAGTAAATTGCTTCCTTCCCTGAAGCACATGAGCCTGGTTAGGGACCAAAACCTCTCCGAGAGGAGGGATCCGCCCCGGCTGGAGAACTGCAATTTTAATAGTGTTTTTACACTGTACCAATGCTTCCTGCTGGCCTCGCAGGTTTCCCGGTCCCCTGGCTTCTGCTCCCAAACCAACACGTTCAACAGCCTTAAGCCTTCTCCCAGGCAAGGGACGCCACTCGCACATTTTCGCTGTTGGTACAATCCTCGTGTACAGGCTGTGGTACCCACCCTGCACCGGCGCTGTGCGGGCTGGAGGCAGGGCATCCCTCTCGGGGGGCGTTTGGCTGCCCTCCTGAAGGCAAACAGGTGGCTGATACCCGCCAGAGAGTGCTGCAGCTCCGGCCACGGGTGCAGCCGCGGGCTCGGAGGGCTCCTCCTCAAGGCGGCTGAGCGCGCTCCCCACCGCCCTCCGCCCATGGAGAAAATAACTTAGGGAACGGCCCTGCGTCCGAATTCGTTCCCTGTTCCGCTGCCCACCAAAGAGGCAGGCGATGGGTAAAACGAGATGCGTTTTCTCGTGAGCATTATTCAGAAAAACGCAGAAAACCTGTC